ATTGCTATGTTAGTGTCCGTGAAGACTTTACATCGGCATAAGTAGCATCGAAGGTCTTCATGCATTTAAGAATATACGAGGACTAAAAGCAGTAAAATGAACCTTCATGCAAAGTGAAGAATATGCACTTAAGGTCTTCAATTAAGTGCATATATGGCAGCCGGTTCCTAAGTATTAACCAATGAAGACATAGTTCATAGTTGACAATGTATCAACATTTTAACACCAACTTGCTAACACTAAACACAAATTCGCTCAAAACAGATGATTGGCATATGCGTTTTCATGTTCTATCTAACCACTTTTGAATCCTATCTCTGCATTGCATACATATTTGTTCTCTTCATCAGGGCTACCCGAGCTCAACTCAGAATTACAAAAAGCGTTAAGATACATTAATGCCTCATCACTAACGCTTTGTTTGGATAGCAAAGAAGGAAGGAAAAGAAGGGGAGGGAAAATGGAGGAAGGGAAGGGAAAAGAAAGGGAGGGGGAGGTGAGCTCCATCTTCCCTCCAAACCTCTCCAGTTTTGGAGAGATAATGGTTATTATAGAGAAAGGGAAAATGGATCCCTCCCTCTCCTTCCCCCAATCTTTTACCCAAACAAGAGATTTTGTCCCCCTCCATTTCTCTTCTCTTCTTTTCCTTCCATTTCTTCCTATCCAAACAAAGTGTAAATAAAAGGTTGGTGCTAGACTGCTGTTCATGCTAGACTGTTCTTGTTTCAATATACAATTAAATACTATATACTGTATTTTAAATAAAAATTATGCAAAAGTTAACACAAATATGAAGAAATGAAAAAGAATGCAAGGTGATAAAGTAAAATACCCTTGGCCTTGGCGCCTCTTCCCAACCAAAGTTCCATAGTTGAGCTTTTCTAGCTCTTGATAAAGTTGAACTTCAGAAGTACCTTCTTTAACAAAATCCAAAGGGTTTATATTCCCTTCAAATCTCACTGAACATTCCTCTTCTTCCTCCAACTCATCCTCGCCTCCATCACCATCATCTTCGACGTCTTCTTCTTCCTCCTCCTCCTCCTCCTCTCCCCCATCAGATACTTCTCTCTCCTCCAAGATATCGTCTTCCTTCATCCCATCTTCACTCTCCATCCGGATAGGAAAATTCAAGCTACCCTGCAACAAAAATAGGAAATCATTGTGACCAAGTGATCTGTTGCAGTCATGTTAAAATCACAAATTAAACAGAATTATTCATACCCTTAATAAACATGGTCACAATTCAGAATTAAACAGAATTAATTGAGTATGATACATTGCATAATTCAGTATGATAATCTGATTAACGATACACAATTGAAAATTAAATTCCGAAAATTGAGAGACTTTAGGGCTCAATTTGACGTACACATTAAAATTATAATTCAAATTTAATCTATTCTGAAAAGAGAATAGGAATTTATAATTCGAAATTGTTGGAATCATTGAAAGTAAATAAAATAAAAATTGAGTGGTGAAAGGAATACCCAGTAAAATTCCGGCGCCAATCAACTAATTCTTAACAAAAATTGTAAAAATTCCGGCGTATCAACCGGAGTTCGAAGTTGTAGTCTGGGTGTTCTACTGCTCTTTGCCGCCAGAGTTTCGGTGGTTATGGTTTGATTTTGGGGTGAAGTTTTGGTGGTTTTCAGGTTGGATTCGGTGTGGGTTCGTGGTTCTGGGTGCTGGACTGCTGCTCGGAACTCAGAACAAGTTAAGAGGGGGACTCTAATAAGAGAGATGGAGGGAGTAATAATTAATTAAAAGGAAAAAATTGTTTTAGTTGTTAGCAAGAAACGATTTTATATACAATAAAAGTGTTAGATTAGGACTTCATTTCAAAAAAAAATGTGAGATGGCACTTTTTGACAAAATCCGGCCATTGACCCTCAAAAACCATCTCCACCTCATCGAATTCCTACCTTGACCCTCATAACTAGGGATGTCAGTGGGGCGGGTTAAGTAGGAGACCCGCCCCATCCCCGCCCCAATGGGGCGGGGATGGTTCTCGGTTTGGCGGGTGGTGGGGCGGGGATGGGGATAAAAATCATACCCGCCATGGGTGATGGGGCGGGGGTGGATTTTAAGTTGTACCCGCCCCATCTCCGCCCCGCCCCACTTCGTACCCGCCCCATCCCCGCCCCGCCCCACTTCGTACCCGCCCCATACCCACATTTATATATCTTTTAAAGTAAAATTACATACTTTTATTCTATTTATAAAATAATTACATGAAATACAATATTAATTATAATACTTTGTATGACATTTATATTATAACACAAAAATGTGTATATAATGTTTTATTTTATAATTCGTATTAATTATGTAAGATTGTGTATTTGATATACGGATATTAGGTGGATCTTGGGTGGGGATTAGGCGGGTTTTTGGTGGGGATTAGGTGGGGATGGATATCCAAGTGGGGGGTGGGGCGGGGATGGTTTTGGAGTTGTACCCGGCGGGGGGGGGGATGGGGATGAAAATTGGACCCGCCGCGGGGATGGGGATGGGGATGGGGATGGGAAGGCCAACATCCGCCCCACCCCGCCCCATTGACATCCCTACTCATAACCACCCCCACCTCGCCTGAGTTCCACACCGACCCCCGAAAACCACCTACACCTCACTCAAATCCCACAATGAATCCCCCGAAAACCACCTCCACTAGGCCGAAATCTCACCATGACCCTCGAAAACCACCCCCACCTTGTCAAAATCCTACACAAACCGCTAAAAAACACCTCCACCTCGCTAAAATCCTGCACCCACCCTCGAAGACCACCCCCGCCACTCCAAAATCCTTCTAAAGAACCCATCTCGCAATGTTTTTTTTTTTTAAATAAGGTCCCATCTCACAACTTTTTTTTTTTGAAGTAAGGTCCCAATCTGCCACTTTTTTTTATATAAGGTCCTTTCTCACAAACAAGTAATTTTAAAGGTCCTTTCTCGCAGAGTTTTCTAACTAAAATAATAATTTTTAATTAGAAAATGGATGATTTCCCACAATAATGTAAAAATGAAAACAAATCGATTTAAAATTAAATTCCCCAAGTATCGTCCACATAGGATCGGTGTTGGGTATTATTTTTGTTAAACATAAAACCGCTAATAACAACAACAGTTTCTGTTATAAATCCGCTACTTGTATTAGCGATTTTTAAAGGAGAATGCCTATAATAAAGATCAGGCCTATATTCCTTCTTAAGTGCACTGAACACTTTATATGTGCAAAAAGAGACCATACTTTTAAAATAACATATTTATTTTCCCTTTTTAAAAAAACAAAAAAAAAACAAAAAAAAACAACGCTACATTGTGATGTATGTGTCCTTTTATAATAATAAGAACAAAGATACCTACTTTATGTAAAAACGGAACTCTTTGTAATAATTTTTTTAATAAAAAATCATTAATGACGTAAGAGGTTCTAAGTTGAACTAAACGCCAATCCTACTTGAATGGTACCTTGGGAATTTATTTTTAAACTGATGTATAATGGGAATTATTTTTTTGATTTAACTATATCGAGGGGAGTCTCTGAAATTAAGTGACCTGTTTGATAGGTTGTACATCATTTGATTTGTTTAAAGTTAATACTCTATAAAATTCAACTTATTATGATATAATTGAAATGTTAACTTATTTTGAGCTAACCGTATAAAGGTTAGCTTATTCTTAACAAATTTTCCTTTTATCTTAAACTTTTTTGCCATTCAAAAACTCCAATCCTTAAACACAAATTTTTACACTTCATATGTGGCTGGTTAGCCATCATAGAGGGTTACTTCGTTTGTGTTATATGGGTTAACTCGGTCAATGTTACAAGAGTTACTTCGTCAGTGTTATATGCATAGGCGAATGCAATAAGGAATAAGAAGGGTCAAATGAACCTACTTACTTTGGTGTTGGAGGCTTCTTGGAGTAATGGAGATTAATGTAAAAAAATGAATGTATATGAATATATGACGGGGTACGAATAACAATATAGTTAGGGGTCGTTTGATTGGGGCATTCATTAAAGAGAATGAGAATTAACTACCCTGATTCCCTTTATTGTTGTTTGTTTGACATTTTTTTTTTCCATTCCCTTTACCCCAAATCCTTCCAACTTGATTCCCCAACCCCCTACACTTTTCCATCCCTTTCCTTAGCCACCACAACACCACCATACTCACACCAGCCACCACCATTCTACCCTATCCCCACCACCCAGCCACCCTCGGTGTACCTCCACCATCCCTCGCCGGAGATCCCCTCCCGCTAGAAACTCCCCCATTCCCGCAAAAAACTCTAAAAACGCATCCTCTTACCCGTAAAACAGTCGCTCGACCCTCCTCCCACCCTCGAAACAAGTGGGGGTGTATGTAATACCTCTCACGATTGATTTAAATGAGTTTAATATACTCTACTCATGGTTACAAGATGCATCTTCCTTTTAGAGAGCTCATATGCTAAGATACCCCATAATTAAGCGTGTTTGGTTGAGATATGAAATTGAATTTACTCGCAAAAAAAAAAAAAATCAAATCTATTCTTTTTCTTACTTTTTAACCATTTTTTACACCATCTATCATCCTTGTCACAATTGTTGTGCAAACAATAATGAAATGTCAAATGTACTCTCCATTTATTTATTTTTCTTTATTTTTTTTGTTGGCATTAATTCCACCTAGCATTAAGCAAATCCAATCCAATCCAGAGATTTTGTAAAAGAATCCAAATTAAACATTTTTTTTTGTCTCAATCCATTTCCTCCCCAAATATAAAATTCCCCAAAATACCCCTCCAACCCAAAAATTTCCTTGGGGATCAAGCACACACACGTACATCTAACGTCATTCACACAAGTCAAACCCCCAATAAACAAACGACACCGTTTCATCACAAACAACAGCTGAAAAATTACCCTAAATCCCTGTAAATTCAAGAAAAAATCAAGGGTAAAATTGGAATAAAAAGATTATATATATGGTTGAGAAAATGTTATGATGGTTTTTTTAATTGACTGCGAAAAGGCGAGCGAGAGGAGCAGAGCAGTTTTCGTTATCCATTCTCTTTCTTCACCATTTATATTTTTTCTGTCAGATATTTTATTTTCTTCTTCGTCCCAAAAACAATAAAAATTCGGAAATTAGGGTTTTTGATTTCAAACAAATTCGAGGTTTATCTTCAATCATGGTGTCTGATTCAACCATCAATGCTTCGATTCCTAATGTTTCCAAGGATTTCGGCAAGAAAAAACGGGTAATTAATTATCTTATCTCTTTACTTTGATTTTATTTTGGGAATTTTTTTGATTGCATGAAAATTGTTTGATTTTGGTCTGATAATGGAGTTTGTGATTGTTCAGGCGAATAGGTCGGCGAAATTGAAGCAGTGTAAGCTTGATGCTCGCCGTGAACAGTGGCTTTCTCAAGGTACTGCATTGTTTTATTTTTATAATTTTTTTTTTGGATTTTTTTTTTGAAAATCTTGGATTGATTTTTGGATTAGTGTTTGAAGTTTGATTGATTGGTGAAATTTGTGATGAATTTAATTTTTATAATAGTGAAGAACAAGAATTGCAAGGAGGAAGTGAATGTTCCTGTTGTTGGTGGTGGTAAATTCAATGGGCCGGCGATTGTAACTTGGAAGAAGGCGGCGCAATGCTGTAAGGTTCTAGAAGTGGATAATCCGGGAGTGGAGGAGATCAGCCACCACTTTAGTGATTCGGAATCGTCCCCGTCGAATAGTCCGACCAGTAGCATTTCTAGGGGAAATGATTCAGGGATTACTTATACTGGTAGCAGCAGCAGCAGCAGCTCGAGTTTCAGCAGCGGCCGAGGATGCTTCTCAGGGAGTTTGACAGAAGAAGAGGATGGTGATGGTGTTGGTGGTTGTGAGGATGATGAGTGTTTGGATGATTGGGAGGCTGTTGCAGATGCTTTGGTTGGTGCTTCTGATGCTAATCAGGGTCATAACTCTAACTCTAATCTTTCCCCTGGCCGAGAAACTGCGGAAGGGTTGAATTTTGAAGGTCAGCTGCCTATCTGTGAGAATGTGGATGCTCAATTGGAGAAATCGAAGAGCGTTGGGGTTGGGATATTGGGCAGAGGTAGCGAGAATTGCAAAGCTTGGAGACCGGATGATGCTTTTAGGCCTCAGAGTTTGCCCAATTTGGCTAAACAGCATAGTTTTCCGACTGGTGCAGAGAGGCTTCAAGGATTTGGAAACCCTTGGGTTCGTAACAATATGACTCCTCGTGTGCCTACATCGTGCCCTATATGCTGTGAGGATTTGGACTTGACGGACTCCAGTTTTCTCCCTTGCCCGTGTGGGTTTCATTTGTGCCTTTTTTGTCACAAGAGGATTCTTGAGGAGGATTCGCGTTGTCCTGGATGCAGGAAGGAGTATGCTTCAGAACCAGTAGAGAAGGAGGCCAGTGTGTCCGGTGGTAGTCTAACAATTCGTTTGGCTCGCTCTTGTAGCATGTCGTCTTCAAGGGTTTAGGATATAAAGTTGTCGTATTTCTTTTGGGGCTCAGCTTATGTATGGTGGAATTCTCAGTTTTTACTTTGTGTTTGTCTATCAGTGTCGTGTTGATCTAGCCTGATTCTAGTTCGTAGATGTGGGTATAAAAGCTTGTGGTTTTAAGCACCGAGTTATTGAGCTGGCTTGAATATAGAGAGTTTGGTCCTAATCTGTGTGGTGCTTTTGCTGATTGTAGAGGAATTGATGCTAGTATGTGAATAGATAAGTGGTACAGAAATGGAATACATTAAAGATCATTACAATCTTGTCTGTTCTCTATTTGTTTTTGTCTTTTATGTTAGCAGCAAACTATTTGATCCTTGGATTTGATACTTGCTATATACTACGGATACGTATTTTGTTTCTTGCTGGAGAGAACTTGGTATCTGTTTCATCACATTGAAAGAGAATTTGATGGAAGAAGCTGAGATCCTTCTTTACTGCCTAGTATGTATTCTTCTTAATTTTGTTTTTCTCTGTGGGTTCCATTTTATGTTTGTTTATGGAGTCTTTTTTGACTTTTTTTTCACACTATTTATTTTCAGTTTCACATACCCATAAATGACATTTTCAACCTCGTCTTAGAAGCACAACTTATGTAGGAGGCTGTGTGCTATACTGCTATTCTTAGTGAGAGCTGTTAATGCCTTCTGCTCGATAGATACTGGTTTGACTCCACAATGAGGTTGTTTGCCATGTTGGGGATACCAAATTTGAGTGCCATTGAAAGGCTGATGAGGGGAAATTGACATTGAAATCTTCCTTTTCATTGTTTAAATACTACTAGTATCAAATAGGTGTTTGGCCTGCCGGTGGTTAAGACAACATCCCATAAATCTTCCATCTTTTAAAATTGCTCTAGGCCGAGCTTTTGTGGGGACACCTTGGTTTATTATTTAACTTCCAACATAATTTTTTGGTTTAAATACTCATTTATGTGTTTATGCAACCTTCTCAGTTAGATTTTTAGAGAACTTAAATGGAACTTGCTGGAAATTTTTGTTGAGCTTGAAGGAAATTGCATGTTTGCATCTGTTTGGAAAAACTAAGAGCTCTTATAGATGGTTTGGTGCTATGGCTCATAAGACAGGAACAATAAGTACTGATATAGCGAAAATTCCTTGCCTGTAATTAATGTGTATCACTGCTATGTTGTAAAGGACTAAAGTCTGTATCGTAAATTGAAAATGGTTTTTGTGCGAGTGTGTGACATTCAGGAACTCTATGGTTTTGTACTGCATCTTATAATGGCTTCTCATCAGTTGTGAAATAACTCAGACTGCTGTTGAGCAGCATTAATTTTAAGGAAGGCGGAAGCACATCATAAAAGCTCAAGATGATTCAGTTCATAAATCTGTGAATAGGTGCATAAAATTTTTGAAGGAATATGGAAAATTTGTGAACCGGATCCAATACAAATCTAATCACAAAAATCTGGATCAAAACATCTTTTTTGGTTTTTATTATGATTTGGTCTGAAATCTGAATATTAGAATAATCAAATCAAATATTGGATAAAAATAATCCAGTTATCTGAATTTCTGACTTTTTTTTTTTACTTAGCCCTGGGCAGTGTCTTGCTTGTTTCTGGCTCATTCTTGCTGAAGGTGGATCCAATTTTACTAAAGAAAATAAATCTTCTATGTGTTTGGTGAAGTCAGTGTCCGCTGCTGCTGGAAGAAATCATTTTGGTGTCCTTTAGTGTATTTATTGGCTATTATTGGTTATTGATTTAGGTATTTAATATGCAACTATGCAAGGTCATTACGTAGTGAGATAGAGAATTTGACTGATAAATTTCAATGATGTATTTAAGAATCATCCAGGATCTATAAGACAGGATCAATTATAAAGCATTCAGCCATTCCTCTGAGTTTGCTTATGTAAATAACCATGGAATTTGTTTGATTTTTTGTTTGTTGGTTACTATTATTATTGTTTCCCTCCGTCCCTTATTTTGCACCATTTGACCCAAAAAGCTCTGACTAAAAGTGGATCCATGGTGCAAAAAAAGGGGGCAGATGGGGTACCATTTTTTTATTGTCATCATCATTGTTGTTGTTACATATTTTCAAGTTCTTTTTAAGCTTGGCCTGTCTAGACTAGCCTAAAATCTCTTAATTGTCCTGTAGTTTAACTGTTTGTTTTGTTATGGGCCTAGAGGGCTTGATTTTGGGTTCAAGGAATGTTGTTTCAGTTATTATTGAACAGTTCCTTTATGTTGTATGAATACCTTGACAGCGTGACAGTTAATGCTGATGATCTCCAGTCATGGCATGAACATTTTGTTTAAGGATCTAGTGGTTGTCTCAATTTTTTTTTTATATTCTGTTAGATTGAGGCTTGATTGCCTGAGGGTGTCAAACATGTAGGGTTCTTTCTATGCTTGGAAGAATATGCCATCTTTTTTTTTTTTTTTTTTCCTGGTCACATTTCCCTGGATAATGAAGCCCTGAAGGTATGGTTTTATTTTTCTTAATTGTGATGTAATTATGCATGATATACCATAAAGTTATAGGACTTATAGCCATGTTGTTATTTCTTAATGCATTTGTATCTTTTATTTCATGTTACTTTCAAGCTTGAGTAGTGAAATGTTATGGCCATATTGTACAGCAAATAGCTTTCAAATTAATCGTAATCATGTTTTGAAGTGATTGATGTCAAAGGGCCTCTATATCCTGGTTTTGCTGCTCTAATATTGTTTTTGATGTTTATGCCAATTTTAATTTTCTTGAAGCTCGAAGATCTATGTGGGGACCTCTATTTTAATATGGGAAGTATGGCATGTAATTATGTTACTTTATCCAGGTAATTTCCTTATTATGCAAGCCAAAATTTCAGTGTATAAAAATTTTATACAGAGTTGTAATGTTGGTGCATAATTTATTCTGAGAAGTTGTATTGTGGAGAATAATTTTGACTACTGTTTTTGCTTTGGAAAGAGTTGATGAATTGATCTTCTGTGGTACTGACTGTTTGTCTCCCATATGAAAGTGATATGGAGCTATGTATGGACTATGGTTTTGAAACCTATATTTTTTCAAGTAATTTGCTTGCTCACTTGTTTTGTAATCTTCTGACCATATGATGTTCCTTCCTTTAATCTGTGTCAAAAGTTTTGAATCTTTTATCTAGTTCAAGAATGGACAGTTTGTACTTACATTAGCGCTGCTTCTGTTGTAGCCTTTTGGGTTTATTTGGAATATTTGTGGAAATTTTTATATGTTGGACAGGGGAAAGTGTCATCTCCAGGTCTTTTTTTTTTCTTTGTAAAAAAAAAAAAAGTAAATTTATTTTGTTAAATTATATGCATGTTTTTTTTTTGTTCCGAATGAAATGTCAACTTATGTTAAGTCTTTTAACATCTGTATCCTGAACATTGTCGTGGTTATTTACCATATCTTATTACTCCTACTTGCGCTCTATCTTGTTTCTGACCTGGGTGTGAAGAAATGCCTATCACCTTTCAATTACAGAGATTAGAATTTGGGAAGTGAAGATGTGAAGTCAATTGTACTTTTACTGGTGATTTGCCTGCACTGTATGGCCTTGTTTATTTCACATATAAAAAAGGTGGTCTTACGTAATTAACTAATTACATTACAAACGATGGTGGTTGTACGAGTGATGTGCCATCTTTATTGTTTATCCATCTTGATTTTCGTTGTCAACCTTTCATTGATCAACAGGTCTGGAATGTTGTGTACGAGATAAGGTATTTGAAATGTTTTGTGCAATAATTCTCAAAAATAAACACAAGACACAAACATGAATCCTGGGTTCTAAGTCTTAATTGTTGTGGTTACACAATGGACATGGTTTATGTTGAGAAATTTTATGTCATGAGATCTTAGAATCAGATGTTACTCAATCACTTGTAGCTTTTAGTCTTTGTCATTTGGGAATGGCTTATGACAGTGTTATCATATTGCCTGGTGAGAAAGAGACTCCCAGTCTGTGTCATTTGTGCTGCCTTGTTTTGGATGTCAGTTTTTGTTAAGTTACAGAGTTTGTATGGGCCCTATGGCCATAGAATTGATGACAGAAATAAATGCAAAGAGGGCAGAGGCTATGGCAACCTCGCTCTGACAAATGTAAAGCTAATAACTGAGGCTAGCAACTTAGTGATAATCATTGTGTGTACGCCTGGTACTTTTGCCTTGGGCTATTTGTTGCTATATGCCTATACCAACCTTCTAGAAGCTGACAGCTCACCTTTGAGCCTCCCTTTTGTGACTGAGTGTGCACCTATATCTGATTGCTTGTGCCGTCTTTTGAAGGTTATAATTGTTTCAGGCTTTCAGTGATGATTGAGATCAAGTAATGCCTGCTTAGGTTCTGTTTGTTTAGTTATTGGAGTAATTTTTCCGATGTGCTGATATTTGTTGATTTGTTCAATAGCTTTTTGAATGAAAGCTAAAAACTTGCTGTTAAAGTTGGATGATTTGATGCTTAGTTTTGTTTTGAATCTTTTGATAACCTGCAAGGAGGAATTGGACACAGTTTTTTTTTTTTTTTTTTTTTTTTTTTTTTAATTATTTTTTTTTTTAATTATGTTGTCCAACAGCTTTTAAATGAAGGCTATATAGTTCTCTTAAGTTGGGTAAGGAAGCCCACCAGCGCCTGAAGATCAGGCTAGGCTTTGGCATGGTAAGGTAGCTATAGACCCCTTTTAACTTTCAACATTATTATGCCAACGATTTGCCTTATCCTGGATTTTAGCCAAAAAAAAATTTTAGTTGGGTGTTGCTGGGATGAAAGATTTTCTGAGAGCCAGAACAAATTTGCTATATACAGTAATTTATAGTTGGTATTTTGAGAAGTTAGTATTTGAAGTGAAACCCTTCAGCTAGCATGTCAAACCAGAGATGCATTATTACATTGTTTATCTATGTTCTAATTATGCCCTACCTTTTGTTTTTCCAGATTCTGAACTCAGCTCTCTAGCTATTGTTATAGGTGCTATGTATCTGTTTAAATTATCTCATCTGTTATTTTCTGAATTTAAACACACGGTTATCTAGTTGTTGGTGTCAGGTGCTTTGTGTCACTTAACAATGATGCCATTTTCTATATTTCAGAATCTGAACCCACAATTATCTATTTATTGGTAGAGTGCTATGCATCTCTCCAGTGCCACAGCTGTTGTCTGTTTACAGGGAAAATTCGAAAAAAAAAGAAAAACATTTTTTTCCTAAACATGTAAATTGTTTTCTTGCAAATTGCTGATTCCGAAAGAGACTGGAGTATATATATTATTATTATACTTGAAATAGATCCTTGATGCAAGATACTGATCTGTGTTGGATAGGGAGCCTCTTCCACCACTGGACAAAGGAGGATTCATTTAAGAATACGTCTTTGCCCAGCAGCTCATTCTGGGCCCATAATGCTACATTTCTTTCAAGATGGAGAACTCTCTCCTTGACATTTTCAAAGAGCTGTGTGTTGCGAGTACTAATGCAAAGCTCCTCAACCTCAGCCCAGAAGCAGGATTCTGGCACTGGTTCAGCCTTCAATTTCTCCACATGTTCACGCCATTTTTGTGTGTATCTGTAACGTGATGGTCTACCTTTGTCCATGTATGATCCAGTGTCCTCATTCTTTAAATGGCGGTAGTAGTTGGCTATATCCAAGGGCTCAACAAGGCGCCTGTACCAAGTACCAATCTCAATCCACTCTTTATTCCCCTCAAATTCATCAGGTAACTCGTTTCTTTTCAACAATCTCAATTATCTCATCCCATATGCCTGCTAATTCCAATCTCCTAATGTTGTTGTGGAAGTCTTCAGTGTGCTTTTGCATCTTAAAGGCGTCATAGTATCCTATTTTCCGAACCTCACTATTGGCTTGATATCTTTCAAGCATATCCAGCACATCTCTGATTTTGTTCTTGTTGCTGCTGATCTTGATTTGGTTTCTAACTTTCTGTTTTTCTAGCTCTCCTGCAGCTCGAAGACACAGTCTGGCTCTTGCACTCTGGAATAACAATCAGCTTGTTATCAACTTTCTATATTGAAGGAGTATATGTTTGAAGTGATAAGAAAGGTTAGTTTAGAACTCACCAAGCCTAGATCATTCAAAGCACCACATACATTGAAATTTTCACCTTCTCCTATGTTTTCTGTCGATAAAGGCAGATCTTCCAGATGCTCCAAGTAAGCTACACGGCGCATTGCCATGCTCTCGAGTAATTCATGCTCATAGATTAAATGCTCTTTCAGGCTTCTCTGGGCTACCTCATTCCACTCTGATTCAGAGCCTAGCTGAAGGCAGTAAAACAAACTTTGGTGAATGGCATCAGAATTTCTTATAGTGACAAATTTTCCATTCCCAATGCAGAAGACATAGGTCCCAAAAGGTCTGTAAGGGCTAAGCTCAATGAAATTGGTCACATTTTCCAGTAACAAGTTTGTACACCCCATGAATTTGCAGGCTGCACGACTGGTCACTAATGAGACGTTTCTCATCACTGTCAGAATGAACGTTGAAGCTTCTGCTGTTCTTCCTACAGAATCACTTGCGAAAAAGGGAGATTTTGGATTGTAGTAATGAAGAATCGTCTGCAATTCTTTCTCTATAGAGGGAAGAGGAGTGAGGGAAATTCTAGGGATGATATCATATCTCATGATTAAGTGTGTGAAATATTGACTCCAATGTTCTCGTTTAACAGCATGGGTTAATACTTTGTCACCCACGAGTGGTGATCCAAAGGTTATACAGCGGGGCGGGCCATGGTTGATGCGTCTCTGGTTCCAGGATTCCAAGAACCAAAGAGTTGCAAAGATAGCTGTTGCTGCACCTGAGGAATGTCCTGTAAACACTATCTGCTTCCCTGTTGCAGCTTTTTCCACCTGAGAATCTGAATTCTGTAAGTTAAATGTTCTCGTTTTTGAGTAGAATATATACATAATTTTATCGTGATAGTACAAACAATTTTTATAAAATCATACCTCATTCTTGAATGATGTTTTTGCCAATAGCGCTTCAAATCTTTGAAGATATGCTTGGTTTACTGTTGCGGCTTCGTTGCTGCCAATAGTTTTAAGAGATGGGAAGTGATTAAGGTTGATCTTTGCCTCTCCAAAAGGCTTATGTGTAAACCAGTCACCCAAATCCCAAGTTCCTGTGAACCCAAAGATCACCTCTGACAACGAGCTCCTAGATGTCTCACATATATACGGCTTATCAGTTGGTGACTTGTGAGCTTTTATGGCTACGGCGCAAGCTCGACCGATTAACTCGTCACTTAATCCTACACTCTCTCCTGCCATACCTATATTTGTAGTTTTTATTTTTACATGAAGAGAGCAGAAATAGGCTGTTCTGATTATTGCTGATTGTAATGGCCAAATTTTATGTTTAGGAGTGTTGAGGTAGGCTAACAGTGGAATGATAATTACTGAAATGCCCTCTTGTAAGATTAATATAGGCCGATGTATGATGTAGCTCAGAAGGGCATATTTGTCATTCTACTTTCATTGACTTGAAAGGTGAAATTGTGCTATTTCTATGGTCATAAATAAAATGATTGGAAGATTTTTTTCGTGGAAAATTCATCCCCGCTTCCCACTTACGTGCTTGACTTTGGACTTTAAAAGGTCATGTCCTTTTCAAGCTAGCCACCTTAATCACGATTATATTGGATTACTAGATTAATCTCATGCGTTAAACGGTTTAAATAGATTTTATTTGTTTAAAATAGTTGTCAATATTTTTTATTCGAAATAGTTTAATCATAATCTTATTATTAATTTTGAAAGAAATATTGTAATTGTTAAGTTTTAGAACTTAGGAGAAAAAAAAAACAGAGAAAAAAATGATGATGTCAAAAATAGTTTTGGCGGAAAAAAATTTCATAAAAAATTAACAAGTGTCCTCTAATGATGTCAACATGTTTTGTTTTAGTAATACTTCCTCTGTTTTTATTTACTTGCAACACTTCTCTTTTCACGCTTGTCGATGCATTATTTCAATCGTTTATATCTTTAATTATCAATATGTAAAAATTATAAATGTTAGATATTAAAATAGTATAAATAGAGACGAATCCAACAAGATCCCACATGACTATATTTTTTCTTAGCTATAAATCGTCAAAACTAGTCAAAGTGGAGTGCATAAATAGTGTAAAAGTCAAACTGTTGCAAGTATAAGAAAACAGAGGAAGTAGTTAATAGACTATTCGGATATTTACAAGGAAAAAAATAAATTTTTTTTTTTATAAATGACTATAAGTTTGAGAAGTATCTATTTATGTTATTAAATTATTATAGATCTAATTTTAGTTTTCTGACATCTTATGAATAAACAAAAAAAAAAAGCTTGTGCGAAGGCTTAACCTAAGACTCAATGCATTACCACTATGACAAAGCTAAATTAATATTTTTTATTACATCAAAATTGTATTTAACCTATAAATTTATACCTTTACCTAAATAAATAAATAATAATTTTTTTTTTGGGGGAGTGCCACCCAGGACTCTTAATAGGTCCGCCCCTGTAATCCATTTTAACCCGTGAAAACTCGAATTAAACTCGATCTATTATTCACCCATCCTGAATATAAGCCCAACCTGTTATTAACCCGACCCAAACCCGACAAGATGTGTAACTCGACTCAAGCATGGCCTAACCCGAACCTGACTTGCATAGGCTACGACATTAGTTCGAATTGATCCGACTTTAGCGGAGCTTGATTTAATATAATTTTCGGCTTACTTTTCCTCAATATACATAAATATATTGATTTTGATTGTATCTAAATATTTGAAAATGAGTTCATTTATGTATAATACTAAAAGTACATGTTTTTCCATTTGATAGTGCTTCTAGCCTTCTTGTACTTTTTCCATTTGATAGTGCTTCTTCAATTACCGTTCAAATTTCAGCTACTTGAATGCATCACTATAGAATCATGAACAAATTTGCATGCATGATACATTCATATTTTAAGTGAGACAATTTACGCACCTGATCATGTACTTAGAAAGTTTTGACTTACTATGAAGTATAATTGGCATAATATGGAAGTACAATAATGAAAAAAAAAACACGTAGTATTACTTATTTATATTTTGGCCTCAAAAATTTCTGTATTTTTTTAATTTTAAACAATTACTGTATAAAATATGGAAAGACTTTGCCAAAAAAACAAAAAAAAATTGGAAATTCTAGCATGAAGAGCAGGAAAATTTTGTATGCTAAGTTGATTGTATAATTATTTATTTATTTTTTAAATGAATGTAGTAACCTTTTGTTTGGGTCCAATTTAGTCCAATTGGGCCTAGGCATTAAATGATCCAATTAAAAGCCCAAGGTCAAGGTTCAACTCTCCAATTGTGCTAAAGTCAAAGGTCAGCCCTCAAAGCAAGCCAATTGGGCTAAGGCCCAACCTCTCCATGTATGAAGAGGTATAAAAGCCATCAATATTCAGACATACAGGTATTGATTCACAGATTCACATATTCTCATATATTCAAGCAAAGCCTCAAGCAACTAATTCTCTTGCATAGTGTTCTTTCTACACATTGTACTGACTTTAGCATCGGAGGGGCCTTCCTCGGCAACACCCCCGAGGCTAGTTTACGTGTGTTTACTGTGCAGGAAACCTTCGGCCCAACATAACTTGGACCGAATCCAGTCTTCTCCGTTTCAGCGGACCTTCGGCAAGGTCCCATTGTTTTCACCCGAAACAATTTGGCGCCGTCTGTGGGGAAGACTTTCAAAAATCTTTAAGCCAAATTTCTAACCAAGATCATCTTGCAATTATCTTAGTAGCAATGGCTAAGAACCGCAAGAGCAAAAGCCTCCGTCAAGGAGCGGGCGAAAAGCCTAAAACCCCTACACCATCACCCCCGCCGGACCGGAACTCTCCCAAGGGTGCCAGCTCGGGGGGAGGATCATACAAGGAGGATTCCCTTTCTCCCGTAATTCATGACTCTCATTATAGGCCGAGTCACTCTCGGTCTAGCAGGGGTGAATCCGATCAGTGAATCCGATCATAGGACACATTCAGTGCCCCAAAGCCAACCATCGGCTGTGCGCCCTCATTCCCATACTCGGCCGAGAGCCCCTTTGACGGGGCCCAGCTCGGAAGAGGTGGCAAGAGCGCTGGCAGTGCTCATGGAGGCGATGAGGGCGCAAAATATGCCACCACCTCGTGATCGAACTCCTCCGCATACCCGACATCAGCGGAGGAAGTTAGACCATGATGGTGGGAAACTTCCTTCCTTCCGGGAACTGGAAGAGTGGGAAGAGGATTCCTGGAAAAATGAAAAAGAGAGGAAAAAGAAACCTCAATTTTTAAAAGGATCCTCATCCTCAAGACCAGAAGCGCATAAGAGCAGCAGCTCAGCTTCTCGGCCAGAATCTACTCACCGAGAACCTGAGACTGTTCGCCGAAGCGTCCTTGACCGACTCGGCGGCAAGGAACCGAGCGTGCGCAGTCGCCTCTCGTTCCCTGCAGCCGAGGCCCAGACTTCCCAGCCAGGGACGAAAACCACTCCTACCTCTCTAAGAGGGCGGAGCGCGGTCCCTTCGGCCAGGAACAAGGGCAAGGCCGTTATGCTACCCGCCAGTTCACCATTCGAGCAATGGATACTGGAAGAGCGCGTACCCACGGTTAAAATACCGTCGCACATCACATATGACGGGACCTCGGATCCGAAGGATCACGTGGCCTCGTATGAGACTCATATGCATCTTTGCCCCAGATCTGAGGCGACTTGGTGCAAATATTTCCCAACCACTCTCAAGGGGGTCGCGCAAGCGTGGATCTCCAAGGGAGTAAGGCAAGGCTCCATAACAGGGTGGGATGATCTGTCCTCCAAGTTCAGGAGCAAGTTTTCCACGGCAAACCGCCGAGAGAAGACTACTGCAGAGCTCATGAGTCTACAACAGGGGGAAACCGAAAGCCTCCGAGACTATCTGACCCGTTTCAGTAACGAGTCATCCAGCGTCTCTCAGCTGGACCAGGGGCTAGCCGTTTTTGCAATGCAGAATGGCCTTCAGCCCGGAAAGTTCCTAGACTTCATGGTCGTGCATACCCCGCAGACCTTGGAGGAAGCTTTGAATGCCTCAGATAAGTTCATCCGAGCCGAAGAATGGAACAAAGCGAAAACCCAACCTCAATTTGGGGGAGGGAAACAAAGGCAAATACCCTTGTCTGAAGGCCAAGGCCATAAGGCAAAGGGAAAGTCAAAGGCCTCGGAGCAATCTTTGGCCAGCGACCCAAAGAAGGAAAGATCTGCCTCATACATAGGCAGATACGAGTCCTACACTCCGCTCTCTCTTCCACGCGCCAAAATTTACAGCGTGACGAAAGAGGAGCAGAGTTACCGAAAGCCGAGACCACTCCCAGAGTGGTATCAGCGAAAAAATAAAAATCAGTGGTGCGAGTTCCACGAGTCTTCGGGACACAACACTGAGGAGTGTATCCAACTGAAGGACCAGATAGAGGACATGGTCCGGAAGGGATACTTGAAAAAATACATCGCGGATCACCGTGAGAAAAAAGAATCCGAGAAGTCAGCAAAGGACTCTCGGCAAGACCTCGACTTCCCCCGGAAAAACAGTAAAAAGCCGGAGGGGAAATTCCCTCCGATCAATGTTATCTCGGGAGGAATATACTCTCGGAGGGAGCACAAGCGACACCTTAGAGCTTTGACTCACCAGGTGAACAACGCTGACATTCAATCTCCCCAGTCGCCGGTGCCGAACATGACGTTCACAGCCGCCGACTGCCGGGGGATTACGTTCCCTCACGAGGATCCGTTGGTGATCATCGCCACGGTGGCCAACCACGACGTCAGTAAGGTCCTTGTTGACGGTGGCAGCGGAGCAAACATTCTGTTTCGAAAGGCCTACAATCAAATCAAGTTGAAGCCCAAGCATCTTACGCCGGTACCCTACCCGGTATCCGGGTTCAACGGGGCTTCAACTTATCCAGATGGGAAGGTGACACTTCCTGTCACCATCGGCTGCGATGAGGCAGCCAGGAACGTCATGATTGAATTTTTGGTAATTGACGCTCCTTTAGTGTACAACGTGATTTTGGGGAGACCCATAATTCACGAGATCCAAGGGGTCGTCTCAACTTATCATCAGCTGATGATTTACGTCTCAGACGCCGGCTTCCCCGAAAGGATACAAGGCAACCAAAAGGACGCCCGAAGGTGCAACTACCTACAACCATCCAATAGTCGCCCAGATGACAAGGATGAGGAGGAGAAAGAAAAAGAAAGAGAGCCGAGCACAAAAAAGCCGAAAGGCCTAAGTGCTTCGGCCCAAGGATCTGTACCCAGAGGTAAAGGGCCCGAAAGGGAAAAGGCTAGCTCTTCAGCTGAGCCGCAAGACTCAGAGAGCCAGCCGAAG